ATGCCACGAGGCTCCTCCGGTTCCCCACAGCAGCGGTGCCCAGCCCTGCAGCTCTGCCCGGCCTCTCTGCAGCGCTGAACGTGCAGAGGCTGCAGCTGAGCACGCCACGGCACCAGGCACAGCAGAGCCTCGCAGGAGCAGCCTGCGGCCCCGGCCACAGCCAGGAGCAGCACGGGCAGCTGCTCAGCACTGTCCTCTCCTGGTGGGAGCCGTCACGGTGCTGGGAACATTCCTGCCCTCCAGGCAAGCAAGGGAGCTGCCAGGGGGACAGAGTCACACGGAATGGGCTAGAGGTCCCCACAAAGGCCACAGGATTTGCAGTGACAGAGCAGGTAGCTGGTTTAGGTGACTCTGCCCTCCTTTTGCCCTAGCAGGGCTGGAAACAGCAGCAGCGGGTGCAGGGAGCCTCACCTCCTGTGGACTTCCTCCAGCTCCTCCTCCTTCTCCCGCACGACCCTGTCCAGCTCCAGGCGCTGCCGGGCTCTCATCTCTGCCATCTCTGCCTTTAGCTGCTTGTTCTCCTCCTCCGTGCCCACCAGCCTGTCGGCGAATTCCTGGCGGATCACGTCCGCCAGGCTGCTCCGCTCCCGCACCAGCTGGTCCCGCACCTGCGGCCGCGCGGAGAGGAGACATCAGGGCACCGATGGGCACAGGGCACTGCCAGGGGCACAGAGAGGAGCCAGAGCCCCCTCTGCCCTGCACTCACCTTGCCGATCTCCTCCAGCTCCTGCTCCTTGTGCTTCAGCAGCCCCTGCAGATGCAGGCTCTCCCCTTCGAGCTCGGCCAGCCGCCCCTTCAGCTCATTGCAACGCTCCTGCAGCTTCCGCTCGGACCTCTCCAGCTCCTGCAGCTCCGCCTCGTACTTGTCTCGGATCCTCTTAATCCTAAAGAGGGGCAGGAAAAGCCAGCCCAGCTCAGCCTAGCGCCACAGCCGCACCGAACCCTTCCCAGCCTCCTGCACGCTGCGGGAGCGGACACGAGACGGCAGCGCTGCCGGGAGCAGCCCCACGGGTGCTCCTGAGCTCTTGGTGCACCAAGAGGCCGTCCTCAGCCCGCCGAGGGGAGCAGTGCCCTGCTCAAAGCGCTTTGCTGCGCTTCACGGGGCCCCAGGCTGCTCTCAGCGCTCAGACAGGCTCCCTGCTCCGTGCTCGGGCTCTGAATGTGGGCAGGCTCCTTCGATGTGCCTCGACTTTCCCTTTGCCCTGAGAACGGGAGAGGGGAGCCGGCTGCCAAGGAGAGAAGGCCGCAAGGGAGCAGCCACTGCGGGCCCTGGAGAAATCAGTGTAAACTGCTCTGTTTCTGCAAGCAGACCCCTCACATACGTGTGAAAGTCGGGTATTGTGAGGCTGGTCCCTGCCATATCGCTTTGGGCTTTCCTGGGTTTGTGTCACCCCCTCAGACCTGCAGCAAACGGCGCTGAGGAGATGCACACTCTGCCGTTCAGCAGCTCCCTCCCTGGCAGCTCTTCCTTGCTGGGCTAACATGGCCCCAGCGTGCACATTGCAGCGCTGCTGCACAACGCTGCACGAGCTGATCGTGTCCGTGCACGGAGCGGGTAGGATAAATGCACAAAGGCAGCCTGTGACTTCAGGCCACGCACAGAAAAGGCCGACACACTGAGGTGTGAAGGAAACCGCTGGGCAGAGGTAATCCCAGGCCTAGCTAGACACCAAAGGAGGGCCAGCCGTGTCCCCCGGGGCAGCACGGAGCTCATCCGGCTGCTTGTCACCCTGCTGCCCTCGTGCCGTGCTGGGGGCTCCCAAACCCCTTGGCCTCTGTCTGAGGAAGGTGGGAGCCGGGGCAGCACAACCCACCACTCATGCAGAGCAACCTGGGCAGACCAAGCCCCAGGGGACGGGGAAGAGAAAGAGCCCCCAAGGAGGGAGAACTCGGGGCTCGAGTCCTCCCGCTCCCTCCCCACCTGTTCTCTGCCGCCCTCTCGCACTCCTCCTTGGCGGAGGACATGTCGGCCTCCAGGCGCTGGATGACCAACTCGATCTCTTTGTCTCTCTCCTTCCTCACCTCCTCCCTCAGCTCCCGCTCCCGGGAGAGCAGCCAGGCTTCCTGCGGACACACACAGACATGGCAAACGTTGCCTCCAACCTCCCCCGAGCCCCAGGGGCGCTGCGGAGAGGCTCTCGCGTTACCTCCTTCTTCATGTAGCTGGCCTCCCAGGCCTGCTTCTCGAGCTCCAGCCGGTCCTTCAGCACCTTCACTTCTGCCTGCAGAGAGACAAGCAGGAGCAGAGAACACTGAGCAGCTCTGCCAGCCCCGCGTGCAGGTGGGAGCAGCCCCAGGGGAGGGCACCAGGGCTGCTCGGCGGTGCCAGCACCAGCCCCACGCACGCAGCTCGTGGCTGCAGTCACGCACTGGCACTGCCAGTGCCCACAGACAGCTGGGACCCAGCACGGGGACACCCCAGAGGCAAGGGGAGGAGGAGACCTGGTGCCGCCGCTCGTGCTCCTCTTTGTCCTTTGCAAATTCCTCCTTCAGCGCCTTGGTGACCGCAGAGCTGTTGGCCTCCAGCTGCTGCCTCAGCTCCTCCAGCTCTGCTCTCTGCCTGCCCGCACACAGAACACAGCCTGTAACGCCCGCGGCTGGCCCACATCCCTGCCCTCTTCCTAAGGGAACCCTTCCTGGGGAAGCCAGCCCCGCTGCCCTCGGCTCAGGGCTGTCCCAACGCCCCAGGCAGCTTCCAGGGAGAGCTGGCAGCTCCCCGGGAACACAAGCACAGGGACACGGTGCTGGGGCTGCTCCCAGGCTCTCACCTGGCCGCTTGCTGGCTGAGCCGCTCCTTCTCCTCGGCCACCTCCGCGTAGAGCCGGCGCCGCTGCTGCTGCAGCGCCTGCTCCTCCTGCTCCAAGTGCTTCTCGCACCTGTGGGGCACAGAAGCCTCAGGGATCTGCCTGGCAGGGGGACATTTGCCCCTGGTTCGCAGGGGAACAGCAGCACCGCAGTGGCCTGTCCCCTCCCCGTGCCATCCACGGTAACCAGGGACCATCGGAGTGCCTGCTCCTCCCCATCCCATCCATGGCTAACGGGCGCCATCCGAGTCCCTGCTCCACTGGCATCTCCCCCTCAGGGCTGCTGGAGGGAGAAGGGGGTTTATGGGGACACTAACTACTGATCCCACCACCAAGCAGTGTCAGTGGGTGCCGAGCTCCCCGCTGGCCGCGCTCCCTCCTCCCGCACAAACCGCTGCCGGGCCAGCTCCCGCTCCCGCTGGCTCTGCTGCTCCCGCTCCCGCTCCAGCAGCTCCCGCAGCTCCTCGGCCTGGCGCACATAGCGCTGCGCCGCCCGCTCGTCCGACTGCAGCAGCTCGGCCTCGTGCAGCATCTTCAGCTTCTTGATGTCCTGCTTGTGCTTGGCGATGAGCTTCTGGATCTCCGGCTCCAGCCCTAGGGCAGGACGGGCCACAGAGCTCTCGGCAGGCTGCTCACAGGGCCAGCACAGCTCCCTGCTCCCTGAACCGCAAGAGGAGGCCGTGAACACGCTCCCATCTCCGAGCCCCAGCTGAGGGACGTGCCTGTACCTTTCACAGTGATTTCTTTGATCTTCTTGGTTTTCTCATCCATCCACTTCTCTCGCCTTATTTTCTCTGTTGCGCTCATCAGCTCCTTGAGTTTTTTGATCTCCTGTTTGGAAACACAACAGGAAACTTCAGACACAAGGCAGGAGAGGAAAAAAAAGTGTGTTAGCCTGGGAGCTTGGCTGCCAAAAAGAAAGTTGCAGGCAGGAGGGGATGACCTTAGCTGTGCACAGAGCGCTCGAGCAGCCCTGGTCACTGTGTCCTCCCCGGTTCAGTGAATTAGATGCACATTCCCCCAGTGCCACCTTCCCTCTCTTGAGTGATTGGGCTGCTGCTGCCCTGAAGAATTTCAGCATGGGAGAAAACGGCAAAACCCTTAGAAAAGGCCTTGCTGCATGTGGCTGACAAATGAGAACGCCTATGGGAAAGGAGACGGGAACTCCGGCTGCTCCTGCTCCTCCGAGAGCAGATGGTGCATGCGGAGCAGCCTGTCTGCAGGCTGATCCGGAGTCACACTGGAAGACACTTCCTTCTCCTGGCTTCGGCTGTGGGCAGAAGGCCCCCAAGGAGGACAGACCAATCCACTGCAATATCATCACAGACCAGGTTTCTGCAGTGCCAAAAGCTCTTCAAAGACCCTACGAGCCTGCAGAGCCCAGGCACAACCACTGCCCTCACTTTCTCCTTTGACCGACTCTCCTTTGACCTCTCCGGCCTTCCCTGGGTCTGTGTCCATTTAATCAAGCACAAAGGCTGGTGAAACCCCCGGGTCCTGCTGCTCAGAGAGCTCTTCTCCAGCCCCCTCTTAGGCAAAAGCAAGTTGAAACAACCAGCCACACGCTTTTGTGAGGGGGTTTCTCCCGAGAAGGGCAGTGGGGCACAGAAAGCCCAGCCTGGCCAGAAACGGCTCCGTTTTGGGGACAGGCAGATGACGACAACGCTCACGACACCGGGGGAACTTCACGGCTCCAGGAAACAGGCGGCGTGGCAGGAACATGCAACAGCTGCGACCCGGCCGCTGGGCAGAGGGGAAGGGGAACATGGTCCAGCACAACCCAGGCACTCTCCGAAGCAGCAGGGAAGGGAAGGGCAGCAGCAGCAGCAGTGGAGCACAGGGCCAGCCCCAGGCAGAGGCCGTTACCTGGGCAGGTGGGGTGAAGGGGGCTCCTCCACAGCACTGACCCTCCTGGCAAGCTGGGAGCTCCCACTGCCCCCCAGGCCTGGGCTGAAGGGGCTGCTTCCACCTCGGCAGCGAAGACGCTCCGAGCGCGGAGGGGAAGGCACGGAAAGAGCAAAGAACACATTTACCTCGCAAAAGGGGCCCAGAGTGCGCCAGACCTGGGGAGAAAGAAAGGAGAGGGAAATAGAAAGTGATTCACAGAATAAAGGAAGGGAGAGGAGAAGGGATGGAGAGACAAACGCAGAGGTGCACATAGGAGAGCTGGGCTGAGGCAGGCAGCAGGGGATGCGGATGTGTCCGGGGAGCAGAGCGGGAGGGGAACCAAGCGGGTGGTTAACACACAGCGGCACCGAGAGCTCTGCAGCTCCAGGGCGAGGGCAGGGGCAGCCCTGCTCGGGAAGGGGCTGCGAGCTCGGGGACGGTCCAGCCGCGAGGACGGGTCCTGCTGCAGGAGCTCCACGGGCAGGGGCGCCACGCGGCTCCTCCTCGCACACTGAGGAAAAAGATCCCGCCAGGAGCTGCTGAGCGGAGCTGGGAGCCCCACTCACCCCAGCAGGGCCAGCGAACGGGCCGCAGAGCGAGGCAGGAGAGGAGATTCTCTCTGCATCACCCCGGTAGCAGCAGCTCCCAGGCCGTTCCCACCAGTGCCGCCCCGTGCTTGGCAGGGAGCGAGGGGTAACGGCTGCAGCTCCTCTCCTGCACCGAGCCCCTTCCCTCCAGATGGTCTGAGAAACCTCTGCAGGCAGCAGCACCACGCTGGCTCCCTCCTTCCAGCTGGACTCAAGACTCAGGTTTAAACACCAAGGCAAAAGCAGCCCAGCCCTCCCTTTGTGTCGGGCTGCACAGTGGAACAGGCTCAAACGGGCACAAACATCATTTTGACCCCAGACAGTCCTGGACACGACCTGAGCTTCGAGGCTAGCGGGGACGGGGCCTGGGGCAGCAGAGGGGAGCGAGCTCCATGCAGGAGCCAGCCGCATGCCCCGCGTCCAGCGCAGCGTGGAGGGCACCGGCTCCATCCACGGGAGAGGGAGCTCTCCGCACGCTCCTGGGGGAAGGAACCACGAGGCAGCTGCGGATGGAGCAGGGAACAGCTCCCGCTGAGCGGCGGCACACGCCGGAGCAGGGCCCCAGGCAGGATTCCCGCTGCACAGGCGCACGGTGAAACCCTCTGTGTCTGGTACTGGCCACCGCAGCAGCACAGCGACACCCACAGAGCTCTGGTGTTGTTGTTTAGCTGTAAGATACACCCCACGTGCCTCTGTAATCCTGCTCCCATTTGGCTCTGCACAATCCACCTCCAGCGAAGGGGTTCGGTAATAACTTCACATAGAAGGGGTCACAGGCACAAATTGTGCAGCATCGAGTTTGTTTCAGCACCTGCTTTTGTCTCTGGCTTACATGAAATCCCCCGTTACCTCCCTGACTGGGAAGAGCTCCCTCCACAGCAGGACCTGGGGAGCTGCCACCGGCTCCTGGTCAGTCCCACACACCGGGCTCTGGGCAGCAAGGCCTCTGGCTGAGGATCCCGGCCTGCTGTGACCTCTGCGGCTCACAGACTTCTTGTGCAAGCAGCACAGCTCGCCAGAACAGAGCCTCAGAGCAGGAGAAATGACCCAGCTCTGGGTAAAGACCAGCAGCACGGCCGGCTGCCCAGGAAGCCCTGTCAGGGTCCGCACAGCCCCGCTCCTGCCACGGCAGTATCGGGACGGGTCTTTCCTTCCTGCACCGCCGCCTTCCCAGTCCCCTCACCAGCTCATGCTGCTCCTGTATCTGGGCGATCTTCTTGCTGTATTTCTGGTCTACTTGTTTCAGCTCAGCTACCACGGCCTCACACTTCTCACTCAGCACCTTCTTATCATCAATGAGCTGGGTAGGGCACAGACAAGGCATCAGAGAGCCAGGCAGAGCGCGGCCACCTCCGCTGTCCGGCTCCAGCGGAACCAGAGCTAGGAGGAGAGGTTACCTTGTCGATGAAGGTCAGGTGCCGCTGGATCGCGGCCTCGTACTGCTCCCTCTGCAGCCGCAGCTGCTGGCTGAGCTCCTTCTCGGTCTGCTTGACGTGGCGAACAGTCAGTTCCCTCTGCTGAGCCTGTTGGACGTAGGGGAGAAACGGAGCCGTGAGGAATTAGAGGAGGATGTTACACCCACCCAGGCACCTACACAGAATGCCTATCACACCAAGGAAGCTCTGTGGGACCAGAACAACCAGAAACAGGTTGCCTGGTCCTGACATCTCATGTCCTAATGTCAGCAGGACAGCCCAGACACCCAGGTGACAGAAAAGGAGAGTTCTGCCAAGGAAAGGGCATCGCACAGGCCCTGCCTGGGGTTTCTGGATGGGAAAGGAACCTGCTAAGGAGGGTTTTGAAGATGATTTTCAAATCAGGAAGGCAGCAAGGAGAAAGCTGAGAAGTGCACACTGCAAAGCAGCAGTGGACAACTCCATCAGTTGAAAGGACTGTGCAGATCTTTCCCACCAGGAATAACTAATAACCAGGACTGCTGCACACATGGACAGAATATGCCCCGCTGGCTCCTCTGCATTAGATCTGGGATTAGCACTGCTGGGGCCACAGAAGGCAAGCCCTGCTCACAAAGTCATCTTCTTGCATCGTAAAGACACTGTTTCAGGAATAACCTGTCGAGGGCTCTCGGCCTTGGCTCCCCAGCAATGAGCACACCCGCCTTACGCACCAGCGCCGTCTGCAGCAGGCTCACGGCTCGCTTCTTCTCCTCCACTTCCAGCTTCAGCCTCATGATGGAGCTGGTGACTTCCGTGGCAACAGCGGAGGCCTGCTCCAAGTGAGCCAGTTCCTCTTCAGAGAGGAGTCCCTGCGACACAAAAACGGGATTAAAAAGAGCTGGGGACCACCTGGGGCCAGGATGAGGAGAGAGGATCTCCCCACAGGATCTCACTCTGTGTCTCCAGCACGAACAGCCTCTTGCTTCAGCACTCACCTCCCTCTGCGTGGCTGAGGCAGCTGACCTGGGTCTCTCCTGTTCAGACTTCTCCATCTCATCCAGGAAGCTGATGATGCTTTGGAGCTTGGCCTCTGAGAGCAGGGCCCCATCCTCAGGGACCCCAGGGGAATGGTTCAACTTCCCAAACTTCTCCAAGTTGTCAGCAGTCAAGGAATTGGAGTCTGATTCCTGCCGGGCAGACACACAGCAGTTAACAAGGAAGGCAGTCTCACTAGGAAGGAACAAGGAACAGCCCCAAGGGTTCAGAAGAAAAGGTGTGATGTATTCCCCATCAGCACTGAATGGAGGTAGCCCTCACAAGAGGGTCTGTTTCACAAGAAAGCCCATCCTTGGGGTAGACGTGATGAGGCTCAGTCCTCTGCTTACCCCATCTATCCAGGCATATTTGTCCTTCTTGAAGAGTTTTGGCTGGGGGAGCAGCTCTGGCTCTTCCTCCAGCAGCCTGAGGGTGTCCAGCAGCTCATTGAGAGTGACCTTGGACTGAGCCCTGCTCGCAGCAGTAACCGCCATCTCCAGATCCTCTCCGCCTGTCTCCCTGCAGCTCACATCCTAGGGGAGAGGAAAATGCACCATGGGGTAAGAACAGTTTGCTGGATGCCCTGAGAAGCGAAACCAGGCTCCAAAGCTGCACCAGCAGAAGAGCTGGTGCCAGGAGCACCAAGAGGCAAAGCCAGGCCCACCTGCAGCTTGTCCTCCGCGCCGGGATCCTGCACAGCCACGGAGTCAAGGACTGCCAGGACGCCTTCTTCTGCCTCTGCCAGAAACCTGCAGAAGAGACTCACCAGCATTATTAGCTTTGATGATGCTGTTGGCCGGACTGATGTTCTTTGCAGAAGCAGGTTTGGCAGGCTTCTTCTTTGCAGCCCTTCTGCTCTCCTTCATCAGGGCAAGTTCTTCTTCTGCCAAGCGCTTTGTGTCAGAAGCCTTTTGGGCCCTTTTCTGCTGCAGTTCCTGCAGGGCCAGACAAGCCGTGAGGACCCTGCACAGCCCGGGGGTCGTTCTGACACGTATTTGCACCTCTTTGCAAGCGCTAGCTACGATTTGCGAGACAGCAGCAATCTGCGTGCTCAGGTATCAAACCAGGACAATGCGCCAGACAAGCCGTGAGGACCCTGCACAACCCGGGGGCCGCTCTGACACATATTTGCAAGCGCTAGCTACGGTTTGCGAGACAGCAGCAATCTGCATGCTCAGGTATTAAACCAGGACAATGTTTTTCAGAGAAAGGGAAAGCAGAGAAACAACAGCTCCCATCCGTGCTCCTGTGAGCAACGGGAGGCAGTGACCACGATGCTGAACACGTGTGAGCCAGGGCAGTTTGTACCTGCTGGCACGTGCATCCTTTACGTTCTCCCTCAGTAGATGGAGATGCATCAACAGCTCGAGGGCCAAGCACCACGCGGTGCAGCAGAGATGCAGCACCCAAGGTGTTGCCTTAGCTGAGTTTTGGGATCAGGCAAAGCATAAAATACAACAGCCAGGCAAACATCTACTTAAGAAGTTACCATCCTCCAGCTGCTCACTGCTGTCCCCTTCTGCTGAAAGATGATTCCATTTAGGGCAAAGTTAAACTGTGTTATCTTAAAATCTTTTCAGCAATGCTGCAAGCCAGCATGCAACTCCACACACTGTCACAGATCCAGCTTCTCATCCGAGCTCCAGCAGCACCAGAGCTTCCCTGCCACAGAGGGCTGGGAGAAGAGGTTAAAGCCACAAGGTGCTCAGATGTTTCCTGGCAACACGACCAACGGGCAGAGAACATGGAGCTGGGGGCATGCCGTCCACCAGCCACCCAAAGGGATCCCATTCCCAAAATGGGAATGTTTCTGGGCCTCAGCCTCTCTGAGGAGCTGCAGTTACAGGCTCCCTTTCTCAGCACAGTCACCCTTTCCCCAAGAACTAGATGGAAACCAGCACTGTCTTCATAAGCTCTGAATGAGCTGCCAAGGCTTGGCAGCTACACAAAGGGGAAGCTGCTCTATGGCACCTCCTTCTCTGTAGAGAACACTCCATTTCCAAGACTTGCTTTAGTTCTGCTTCATGCAAAGCCTAAAGATGCGGAGAAAAGACCCTTTTACCATCTCACAAAGACGGCTAACAGCCAGGGCTCAGGCAGGCCACAAAGCTCTTGCCTCATCCCTACCTGGATGGCAGCACGGCGGGCCAGGCGCACCTTCTCCTCTCGGATCTTCCGGCGTTCCTCGTCCTTTTTCTCATGCAAATCCAGGATGTTCCCCTCCTCCATCTGCTGCTGCCTTTCCTTCCCCACAGAAGGGACACAGAGTGTTATTGAGGACTCCCTAGCACCCACCACCTGCAGCAGGGAAGTGGGAAAGGACCCATCTCTCCTGGAGTCACCCCATATCCAGAAGGCTTTCCCTCCTGCCCAGCCTCCCCTTCTTCTCCACAATTTTCCCCTTCTTGCAAGCAAAGGGCCCCCAGAAAAGCTCCACTTTAGGCCAGCTTATTTTCTTTAGACACTAAATGCAATTATTAGTCATCTGGGTCTGAAACCACTGAAGAAACAAGGCTTAAAAATAGAATCGCACATGCAACAGCTCTGGTACTTTTTGTTATTTGGATAAATAATTAAACACAAAGAAACACAAATAGCTGCAGATGACACAGTACTTTCCAGTGAGCCAACTGTTCCCAATTCGCTACCACGAGCTGAGACAGGGTATCCCCACTTTGGCCACCAGAGTGTCCAAGACGGCAAGAATTGGGCTGCATTAGCACTGCCACTGCCAGCTCTCCAGCTGCTGCAGCCGAAGGACAGGGAACGGATCCGGGGCACAGAGGCAGCGCTGAGGCTCACAGCCTGCTCCGTGCTGGTCCTTCCCACCTGCACGGTCAGCCCCTGGGCGCAGGGACACACACCTGCAACTACCAGGACCTGCTCCAGCACTCAGTGCTGCAAGAAGCTGGCTAGAAGCAGGGCCAAGGTCCCCTTGTCTCCAACAGCTCAGTTTTTGGGTGGATCGCCTGGTGTCTAAGGCAGCTTGTTTTCCTCCCTTGCTGAGACAAGCAGGACACCAGGGTTTGCGAAGGGGCTAAGCTGTAAGGCAGGAGACAGACCTCTCTTTTGGAAGCCAGCAGGCGCCCCAGGGCAGCCGTTCCCGTCCTGTGCCTCTGCGTGTGGCGGCGGTACCATCGCTGGATGGTCACGGCCGCCAGGTTCACCTGCTGAATGAACCTGCAAGGAAAGAGCAAGGGCAAGGTCAGGGGGACTCCTCAGCCTCAGGGCCCGGCAGGACAGCCCGTTCTGCTGCAGGAGGGCACAGGGACTGCTCACTGCAGCCTCCTCCTGTGCTGCTATGTGGGACAGGCAGAACTTGCTTCCTTGATGCAGGACACTCAGACAAGCCAAGGCACAGGCAGAGCAGCCAGAGCCCCGCAGCACAAGTACAAAGCAGATCCAGCTCCCCTGCTCTCAACCCCTTAATTTGGCACTGCCCTCGTGCCTCTTCCCGTGAGCCATCGCACGCCAGCCCTGCCTCACCTCTCCGCCTCCTCCTCGGTCACCTCCTTCCTCCGCTGCAGGCTGCTGTTGTTGTTGCGGGTCATGATGTTGTTGCTGGAGAAGTTCTTCTGAGACTTCATGAAACTGCTGCTTTCGTTCTCCTCGTTTGAGGTCGCCTTGATAACATTGCTAAGGCAGAAGATGAAGCTCCTTGTTACCATCCTGCCCTGTTTTGTGGCACACCCGCACAGTGAGCACAGCCACACGGAGCAGGACCCCATGCACTTACTTGAGCGAGTTGGGTGCCTGGTTGGAGCTCTTGGGCGCAGGGCCCTTGTCGCTGGTGGAGTAGTTGTTGTGCACCATGGTGGTGACGCAGTTGCCCATCGCGCCCTTGTTGCTCCTTTTGCGGAGAGAAGACAGAGCATCAGGACTTGCTCCGCGCGAAGGCAGAGGCCAGCGAGGCCTCGTGAGCAGTTCACTCGCTCCCCAGAGCTGTGAGCTGACACAGAAGCAGGTACTGCAGGTGCAGCACAGCCATTCAGACAGGCAGCCTTTGCTCCCGTCTCTCCTAGCCCTGAAGGTTTCTAGTCTTGCTCCCTTTCCTGCATTTAGAGTGGCCTCGCTCCTTCCACACATTCATCAGCCTCCTGTGCAGCCTCCAGACATGCCCTCACCAGCCCAGCCTCACACGCTGCCATCCCTCTGCCCCATGTTTGACCTGATATTCTGGCAGAGACAGAGCACCAGCACCACCTCCTTCATCCACGTATTTTCTCAATTTAATTCCTCCTAACGCCAGGCTCCTGGTTCGGTGCTGCTCCTCCTACCTGTTGTTGGCAGTGAAATTGGCTGCCAGGAGCACGGTGGCCTCTTTTTTCCTCATGCCTGCCGGTGGCTCCAGGGTGCCGGATGAGCCGGGGAATCCTCGTGGTTGATCGTCCTGCCATGGAGTCAGCAAGCATTAAGTGTAGGCGAGCACCAGACCAACCTCTTCAAACAACACACCCTGCCTCCGCAAGGCAAGGAAAGGAAACCCCAAGGAAACCCCACGTCTGCTGCAGCCACCTCCTGCCTCCCTCGCCACGCGGCACAGCCTGGAGCCGAGGGACCAAAAACCCCGGTCCAGACACAACGACCCACGGCCAAAACAGGCCAGAGCAACAACTTAGCAGCACCAGCTTGGCCGGAACGACGAGGAAGGGCCGGCCTGGCTGTCACAGATGAACTACCCCATCCCCACCTTCAGACCCAGGGGACATGCACTGCATGACTCACCCACCAAACCAAAACCGACTCCTCCTTTAGGAGAGCCACACTCAGCCCACAGCAGCGGGCAGAGCACGCTCCTTACCAGGATGTTCCACGTCGTCTTTCTCTCCGGGGAGGTTTTGCTCAGCGTCGCCGGTTTCTTTCTTCCACCAGAAGGGCTGTCAAAGAAGGCCAGGAAGTCTCCTGCCTGCTCTGGGCTTTGGGTGCAGCCGAAGAGGAGCAGAGAAAGGGAAGAACGTTCTGCAGTTAGGATGAGGAGCAGACACAGGGCAACAAGAGAGCAGCCTGCACGCTCTGCAGGGCCCCAGCAGACTGTTCCAGCAAGAAGCAAGGCCTGATCTCAGCAGACCACTCTGACAACATGCACAGCACAGCCCGATAACCCGAGATGTACCTAGTGCCTGCCCTGAGACAGGGGGAGAAAAAGGGCTCTAGAACTGTGACATCATCATGAAATCCATGAATTATTGGTTTTTATGTAAAGCTTTATGCTTCAGCATAACATGTGCGGATAGGATACATTAAAAAGA